ATGGGCCTGTCCTGGGCAGTCCAGGAGCTCTTCAGAGGCGCTCTTGGGACGCCTTGGGGGTCCTCTTGGACCATTTTGGAGCTGTCCTGGGCCGTCGTGCTCTCGGTCCATGTTGGCGACACCTCGGGTAAAGTTCAGCGATTGGGAGGGCCAGCGACGTGATCCGAGAAGCTTGTGGAGAGGTTGGCGCATCCAGTGGGTTCGGCCCATTTCGCCACCGTGCCTGGGATGCATGTTGCGTTTCAGACGCGCATTCTCTCCCTCATCCATCCTTTATTGCCTGCTTTCTTCTCCCTCAATTGATTTACTCCTCCAGCCATTCATCGACTCGCGTAACGACTGAGAAGACACGAGTATTATGCAAAAACCTCTTGGGGGCTTCTTTGGGAAGTTTTGGGCCCTCTCTGCGGCCTTCCAATCGTATTCTGGGCTCCCCAAAGGGGCCTGTTGCGCATCTTGGGCGCATTCTTTGGGGGAGGGGGAGGGTCAGATTCCCATACCGATTTCGTGATGCTTCTTCCTGGACGTCCTCTCGGGACCCTCTTGGAGGTCCGCGGGGCTCTTCTCGGCTGAGAACGTCCGGCACAGCTTAAGCAACCAGAGGACAGGTGCAGGAGGACCCGTTGCGGACGGCCGAGCTCGGCCCGGAAGCCGAGCAGTCTCAGCAGGAGCCGCGGGGCCAGTCGAAAACGGCCGTGCACCTCAGTGTCCAGGAGCAGCAGGTTTGCAGCAGGAGCAGCCGCGAACGGTCCACAGCAGCAGAACCGAGGAGCTTCGAAAGTTTGTGTGTGTTCAATCGCGTTGTTCCGTTCGCCTGCGAATGCTAGATGCATTGTCGATTGGCCTTCTGCTAGATTCGGTCAAGAGGCCTTGTTGGGAGGCGTTTTGGGATCTCCGAGGAGGCCTCTTGGGGGCCTCGTGGCGGCTTCTTGGGGCCTCTCGGGGGCGTCTTGGGGATCTCCGGGGCACTTGGGGGCTCGCTGGCGATCTCGGGGGCCATCCTCAGGGGAAAGGGCTCCAAATGGCAGGTCGGATTCTCCTGTTGGGGCTGTGTTAGGGGCGCCTCTCGGACCATCTTGGGGCTTTCTTGGGCCGTCTTGGGGCCGTCCTGAGAGCCTCTTAGGCTGCCTTGGGGCGATCTTGGGGGCCTCTTTGGCTATCTTGGGCAGTCGGAACCCTGAAAAAGGCGATAACGCCAAAATCCTTCACAAGCCCATGGGAAACCATTGAAATTGAACCCCTGGGAGGGCTCACGGAGCTTTCTTGGACCATCTTGGGGCTATGCTGAAGCCTCTTGGGGCCGATTGTGGGCCATCTTGAGCTCTGCCACCCGTTGATCTCGACTCTTGGGCCGTCTTGGAGCTCCCGTGGGGTCTTTTGGGGCGCTCTGGAGCGCTCTGGAAGGCTCTGGAAACCGCCCCCGAGAGGCCAGCATCCTTAACAGGAGTCTCCCGGGATACTGCCTCAGTGGCTGCCTTGGCATGGCATCACCGCACCCATGTCGGCACACCCGTAACACCTTTCGTGGCCCCAGATGGAGCCCCACCGAAGGTGCCAGCGGCTGCGTTCGCATGTCGCCATCGCACCCTCTTCGGCACGCCCCTCACACTATTCGTGGCCCGGATGGAGCTCCGCCGAAGGCGCCAGTGCTTGCATTCGCATGGTCGCATGGCACCACCGCACCCACGTCGGCACACACGCTTCGTGGTACCATAGGGAGCTCCACCGAAGGCGTCAGTGGCTGCGCCGCATGGTACCATACGCCCGTTTTGGCATACCTCTCGCACGCTTCGTGACCCCAAAGGGAGCTCCACAGCGACTGCGTTCGCATGGCACAACCGCACCCTTTTTCAGCATCCCCCGTACACGCTTCGTGGCCCCGTTGGAGCCTTTACCGACGGCCCCAGGGGGTGCGTTCGCATGGCGCAGCAGCACCCGTTTCGGTACAGATGGGACATGAAATAAGCCAAACAGTTGGCAGCCAGGAGCAGGCAGCAGCGGCCAGGAGCAGCAGCATGCGAGAGAGTTCGTTGGCAACTGTGGGGCAGAAAGGGCAGCCTGGAATGCACGTGCGACGCAGGCCCCTGGAGACCATGGGCGATCCTTCTAGAGGCTTCCGAAAGCCATTCGATTCGGTTCGAGCAAAGTGGATTGGCTGAGTTCTCACATGTATGGCCTCCTCGGGAGCCTCCGTGGAGACGCGCTGAGGCAATCTGTGGGGCATCTTTCAAGACTGGGCCTGCTTGGGCCATCTTGGACGGTCCTGGAGGCAAGCACGGGCGTTCCCCAGCCATTTCTGGAGCCGTCTTTGGCGTCGCGGGGGGGGGCCCGCAGCAAACAATTGCTTGACAAAGGACCCAACCATGTGCAATTATAGGTACAGTCGCTGTATGCACCGCCTTCGGTGGAGCTCCCTATGGGGCCACGGAGCGTGTGAGGGGTGTGCCAAATTTGGCGCGGTGGGCGCACGCGAGCGCTGGCATTTGGGCCTTCGTTGGGGCGCCCCATGGGACCACGAAACGTGTGAGGTATGTGTGTGTGCGCGCGCCAAAAATGGGCTCGGAGGGCGCATGCGAGCGCTGGCACTTAGGCCTTCGGTGGCTCTCCGTACGGGGCCACCAAACGTGTGAGGGGTATGCCATAACGGGCGCGTTGAGAGCACGCGAGCGTTGGCATTTGGGTCTTCGGTGGAGCTCCCTCTGGGGCCACGAAGCGTGTGAGGGGTGCGCCAGGATGGGCACGGGGGGCGCATGCGAGCGCTGGCATATTGGCTTGCGGTGAAGATGGGGCCACGAAGCGTGTGAGGGGTGTGCCAGAATGGGCGTGGTGGGCGCATGCGAGCGCTCGCAGCTGGCCCTTCGGTGGAGCTCCCTGTGGGGCCACGAAACGTGTGAGACGTGTGCCAACATGGGTGTTGTGGGCGCGTGCGGGCGCTGGCATTTGTGCCTTCGGTGGGGCTCCCTATGGGGCCACGAAGCGTGTGAGGGTTGTGCCAACATGGGCGCGGTGGGCGCATGCCAGCACTAGCATTTGTGCCCTCGGTGGAGCTCCTTACGGGCCACGAAACGTGTGAGGGGCGTACCAAAGTTAGCGCGGTGGGCGCATGCGAGCGTTGGCACTGGGGTCTTCGGTGGAGCCCACTATGGGGCCACGAAACGTGTGAGGGTTGTGCCAAAATGTGCGCGGTGGGCGCGCACGAGCGCTGGCACTTGGGCCCCTTCGGTAGAGCTCCCTGTGGGGCCACGAAACTTGCGAGGGATGTGCCAAAGTGGGTGCGGTGGGCGCATGCGAGCGCTAGCATTTAGGCCTTCAGTGGGGCTCCCTATGGGGCCACGACGCGTGTCAGGGGTGCGCCAGAATGGGCTCTGTGGGCGCATGCGAGCGCTGGCATTTGTGCCTTCGGTGGGGCTCCCTATGGGGTGACGAAACGTGTGAGTGGTGCCAGTGGGCGCGGTGGGCGCATGCGAGCGCTGACATTTGAGCTTCCGGTGGGGCGCCCTGGGGGCAACGAAACGTGCGAGGGAGCGTACCAACATGGGTGCGGTGGTCGCATGCGGGCGCTAGCATTTGGGCCTTCGGTGGGGCTCCCTTGGGGCCACGAAACGTGTGAGAGTGTGCCAAAGTGAGGGGGGTGACGGGAGGAGGGAGGAGGGGGAGGAGGAAGAGGATTAATTAGTGCAGATCCAAGAGTCATCAACGATGCTGGAGTAAGCCCTCCCTCCAAGCCCCCTCTTCATAGGCCCCTGCAACGTTTCATTTCCATTGATGGAACTGCCGCGTTGGAAGACACCCGTTTGAAGACCCTGAAGCATGCCAAAGCATTGTTCTCGGGATTCCAACGCCACGGATCAACCTGATTGTTGCGTCTTGACGATCCTGAATCGTGCCAGAATCCATTCGTAGGACTTCAGCTCAGAGAACCGACGTAATTGTTGCACCCGCATGATCCTGAATCTTTCCAGGACACCATGTCTGTTACGCTGATGATGGGAAGCAGTGAAACTCTTCAACATGTTGAAAAAGAATGTACGCGGCGCTAAGGCGAGAGCCACATTTTGAAAGGGAACCGACCGCAATCCGTGAAACTCTTGCAATGTCTAAAAATGAATGCGCGCGGCGCTAAGGCGAGAACCACATTTGGAAAAGGAGCCGCCCTCAATCCGTGAAGCTCTTGCCACGTGTTTGAACGAATTTGCGCGGCGCTCAGGCGAGAGCCACATTTTGAAAAGGAACCGCCCTCAATCCGCGAACCTCCTGCACATGCTTAAAACGAATGTGTGGCGCTAAGGCGAGAGCCACACTGTGAAAACGACCCGCCCTCAACCAGTGAAGCTCTTGCAACTTTTTTCGAACGAGTGAGCGCTGCGCTGAGGCGAGCGCCACATTTTGGAACGGCCCGTCCTCCATAGGAAATTGCTGCCAGTTTTCAAGCTTCAGAGTCATTCATACATTGTGAGGGGAGTCTCAGGCGAACCGACTGGCCCGCCCCTAAAGACTGGCCTCGAGATCCGGCAGGGAGAAGTTATTCATAAGGAACAGGAATGGAGAGGAGAGGAGAGGAGAGGAGAGGAGGTAGGACGCGGGGCGCTGTCTCTTCAAAACGAGGACCCAACACCACAGGACGGTTGGGAAAAATCCCAGTCGCCGTCGTGGGTTTTGGGGGGCAGTCGCGCAGCACATTTCGACAGACCCTGGGGATCTCCCGACATATCCAAGAGATGCACTTATTTTGGAGAGGGGGCTATCTTAACATGAGGACGCTTCAGATCCGTCGGGGTGGCGGGTTCGTATGGGTTGGACGTGGTTGGCCGCGTGGTCGAGGTAATTTCTGGGCAGCGCTTGGACATGTTTTTGAAATCAGAGATTTTCAACCCTCTCGGCATGCGCGACACAGGCTTCGCCGTGCCCCCGAGCGTTGCGAAGAAGCGCCTCGCCGCAGTGTACTCGAGCCCGTACGACAGGAAGGCCATGGGGTTGAAGCTTGCTCCTCGAAGCCTAAGGCACAAGAGTCAGCTTGGGACTCTGGTTCGCGTCGACGGCGACAGGCCAGAGCAGAGCGCGTGGGTCGCCGGGCGCCACTGCCCTGTGCTCTCGGGCGGCGGCCTCATGGGCATGAACCGGGGCGGCATGGTCAGCACCATTGTGGACCAGATGCGGTTCTATTTGATGTTGTTACGCGGAGGACAGCTCTCTCTTCAGACCAAGCGTTTGTTGACACCAGGGACCATCAAGGAGATGTGGACGTCGGACTGGCTGACCAGCCCGAAGACCGTGGGCAAGATTTGCCGCGACAAGGGTAAGCAGTTCGGTTGGCACGCCCTGGGCGAGATAGCCACCGTCAAGCGGCCTGGGACCTATCCCGAGGTCTTCGAGATGGGGGAATGGGGCATGGCTGGTGCCGCGGAGACCCACGTGACAGTCAACTTGCGTAAGCAGCTGCTCTGTCTATGGTTCACCCAGGCCACGGAGGGCTGGCCTGGATTCAAGGGCCCCGAGCAGAACCTTTGGCTCGCCGCCAACAAGGTCATAGCGCAGCAGGCCAAGGCCAGGGAGGCTGTGGCAGCGGCTGGGAGGGCACCCGCCACGAGAAGGCGGAGGGCAAGCAGCGTCCAAGCCAGGGGGGCCGCTGCCAAGCGTGCGCGAGCAGCCTGATGAGGGCGCATCACGACGTTTGTGGTGCAGATTGAGCTGCGAGGGCGCTGGTGGGGCAGAAGGCAGATTCGCGCCGCGTCGACCCGGCGGCGACGCCAGCGCTGGCGTTCGAGGTTGAAGGCCAGCGGCGGCCTGAACCCAGGCCAACCTCGAGCGACCTCCGATGTGTGACATCGCGGATTGCTCAAGATTGGGCCATCGATGCGGTGGCAGAGACCAACGCACACGCCGTCACGACACGAACCTGCTGTGCAGCAGGTGTTTTGCCAGGCATTGGGGCGCGTGGCAATGATGGCTACTCGGTGGAAAATCTGGCATCATGCGGTACACTCGGCGCTCAGGTGACGACTCCCATTCCGCCCTCGCAGTCACAGTCCCTCCCTCAGAGTTTCGAATCTGCGCTCGCCGTCGGGCCCCGTAGCCCGCACCGTCCGCGATAGGGTTCGATCAGTTACATTATTTGATGGATGTTCCCTCTGTCGTTCCTTCTCCTGTATTATCTTCCTGCCCTTGGGCCGTTGCTCCTCTTTCAAGCCCTTCGATCCCTGATATTGAAAGTTCCCCAATCAGAGCTTGCCTCTGTAGGGGTCCTAGCGGATTCATATGGTTAGGTTAGGTTTGTCGCCGATTTTCGCTGCACGCCCGGGTGCCCGGGTGCCCAGGGGTGCCCGTGGCCCGGGTGCCCGGGGGGTGCCCGGGGGTGCCTGGGTGCCCGGGCGTGCCCGGGGGTTGCCTGGGGATGCCCGGGGGTGCCCGGGGGTGCCCTATAGCCTTAAGCCCTGTAGCCCTAATACAGCCCAATAGCCCTATAGCCATACAACTCTATAGCCCTATAGCTCTATAGCCCTATGGCTCAATAGCCCTATAGCCCCCTAGCCCTATAGACCTGATTGGGGCTTTTCTCCGGTATCATGGAATGGAGAGCAGGAGGAGGGGGAGGGGGAGGGGAAGGAGGAGGAGGAGGAGGAGGAGGAGAAGGAGGAGGCGAAGGAGGAGGAGGGGGCGGGGAAGCGGGGAGAAGCGGGAGGGGGGAAGCGGGTAAGGGGATAGGGGATAGGGAGTGAGAGGGGCAGGCGTCGTA